GTGATTCCCTGTCATCCATTTATTCACTTCTATACATTATAAAGACAAAATTAAAAGACACATTGATTTTTAATATCTATTTTATGGTGGATGGAAATAAAGTGGAGAAGAGTAATATTAGCAATATAATATCACAAGATCTCTCCCCATTGTTGGTGGCCCACTTTTGTGTCAAGTAATTTAAATCCAGAGTAAAACTGCACGTGTCTGAGGTGAAATGTACCGCACCGTTCTAGTTGGTCTGTGAGGTCGATCCCCTTGGGGTCTCTTTTGTCCTCATACACAAACATCTCAAAAGTTTTTTCCACACATGGATGTATGGAATAGGAAGAAATTTTGATGTTTATGGTGGAAAAAGCTGTTATATCCTGTATTCCTATCCCTATTTTTTATTTTTTTTTAAATCACAGCACGTCCCTGCTGTATAACCATCCCAAGCCGGGTTCCTTTAAATCCCCTGTGGTCTGTGCATCACTTCTTATTTATGTTGTTGAACAAATCTAACATGACCCACTTTCACATTTCATTCAGCTTTTTCTGGAATCTGCGAGAACTGGCATATGCAAGGAATAATTGAGTTTCACAGTACATTTATAGGCAACTTTTACACTGAAAGGAACGAGTCTACCTCAACTCCTTTAAGCCTTTCTCACTTGCATGTTTGCTTTGTGCTTATTCTTGCTTTCAAGCTGAAATCCATCTGCTTGCCAAACTGAGACAATCACGTGGGTTTCTCTGCTGCTGGATAATGGCACCTCAGGAGTCATCGGGAACAAGTTAACACCATAAGAGACCAGAAGAATGGCTTTCTTTTGACTTTAAACAGCACAGAGAGCAGGGGCATAAACAACAAAAAGGTATATGCACTCACCTCACTTTGCAAATGCCTCAGCCACCAAACTGCTTACTATGAAACTTTAATGACTGTCTGTGACTGACTGAACCCTGAATAATAGAGCATGGGCGGTACTGCTTTTTTGCAGCATAATGAATCCCACTGAAACGGGATTTAGAAATGTATAGTAAAATAATTAGCACAAAGCAGATTCAAACAGATTTAATTTGCGCTGACCCTGACTTCTAAATTTGAAGTTTTAATTACCTCCCGAACATTAAAAAAACATCCTAGCAGCAAGTAAATATTTCTGAGAAAGAAGCCTGGTCCCAAAACATCTGCCACTCTACCCCCTGCTGCTCCTGTGACTCAAACAGCATGCTTGTTTCTGCCATTTAATACACCAGAGAGAGCGTGTGCCGACTGATTGCTGTATACGAAAGCTGATTCCTCCAAAACCGATCCTCATCCTAACACAGCTCACTGGTCGCACCATCGTGCAGCCACTTTTCATTAACAGTTTTGAAGTTACGTGCTGATTTGAAGTTGCAAAGTCATTCATCTCACCTGGGCTTATACTCACTTTTACATCTTTCTCAAGCTGAAACGTCAGCAGCTGTAACACTGATGCATTTAACGAGGGGGCGGGGAAGCTGGTTAAACAGTCGTTAAAATGCTTAAAACAAAACTCTTCGGCTTCGTTTCTCCAGCAAAAGATCATTAAAGCATCTCTCTATATTCTAAGTCTACCTTTTCAAACTCTGCTCTCATGCATAAGATAAACTTCTCCTTCTGCGAGGAGGCCTGTGAGGATCGGTTGGTAATGCATTATAGAGATGATGGTAATGGGCTTGTGCATTCGAATCCTGAGTCAAACAACCACAATGTTCCAAATGAGCCTTTCCTTGCACCGCAAATATCAAGGTGCTGCTTTTAAAAATGGTTTATGTTGCTTTCATTTGTGTATTTCCTCATACATAATGCAGCGTACATAGAAAAGCTCTGCACACACGAGACAGCTGGGCAACAAGGATTCCCTATCATCAACAACCACAACAAAAAAAGCCGACAATGTAACGGTCCTACTTCCAACTGGGGACTGAAAAGACAACTTGAGTAGGCAACAGGCTTCGCTGTTTTATAAAGTATTAATATAAATATAAAAGAAAACAAAGGGCTGTGCTCTAGCTCACAAATGATTTGTGTTATTGTAGGTGATGCGACAAAGCAAATCCAGTCAGTGAGGAGAAACAGTGACTCTGTTCCTGTTTATCATCTTATCAGGGACCTGTAGAGGCCAGCCGAACAGCTGATCTCCCTACAACAGCAATTCTTCCTCATATACTTAATAATAGAGTAAAACCAGGGTGACCATTTTAAAACAAGATATTTCAGTAAAAGAAGCTTGGTATTTCAATATGTGGTCTATATTTGGCAATATGACTGGTATGAATGGTGGAGACAGGTTGCAAAGAAGTTTGCATACGTGGACAGGCTAAAGCAGTTTAAATTTTCTGGCTGGATGTGCTGAAGGGCATCAGCTGAGCCATCACCAGATGTGGCCAAGCATCGAGGTTAGCTGATTTGGCGGGATTGCGGCTGAGCTTTACAGCTTTTCAGGCATGTCTCAAATGACAATATGCTCAATATCTGTATTTGTCAGGGTTGGCAGGACCAGATTCTATTTCGAGTATGTATTCTCTAAACAAATAAAAAAGATAAAATGAGAAAATGTCTGTAAATAATGAGCAGTTGAGGATCTCAGTCACTTAGATGTTTGTTTTTCCACTGTGTACTGTTTACCTTTTTCATTTTGTTCCCAATTGCGATAAAAGTGCTATATAGTTGTTTAAACCTTACGTGCAAATAAAATTTTAATGAACCTGCTGCTTTAGAGTGACTGAGAGTCATTTGTTTGCATGAGCAATGAGACGTTGTGGCCTACCTCTTCGCGCAACCGCTGAATACCTGGGCATCAAATTCATTTCAATGCAGTTTGAGATATAGCAGTAAAAGCTGTCAAATACTAAAAGAAGGCCTGAAAAGTGCAACAGAAACTCAGTTTCTTTCTGCAGAGTCTCCCTCCTGTGGATTTCAATATGTGCAGCAGCAGTCACGTAAAGGCAAATTAGCCATCAAGTTATCTCTGTGATGCATGTGATGCTGTAACAGAAGGCAACTACATTCAAACATCTACCCATCTACTTCTGCTTATCCAGTTCCAGGTCTTGGGGGGGAATTCCTCCCATCTGTCATAGGACGAGTTATGAGGGGTGCACCCTGGACAGGTTGCCAATCTGCTGAAAGGCACAAAATTATCATGAGAGGCAATTTTGAGAATATAAACATGGTTGATAATTTGTGGCCTAGTGAGAAGAGTGAAATGTCAGAGAAAGTTGACTGAGTGGGTGATTAAATCCATCCACCTGTGAGCACCAGATGTGCGTTATATTGACAACAATATGTGACTGCATGCAACTCGCTGTGCAGTCCACATGTGGCACAGTGCAGGCTCTTAACAAGTCAGTTCAGACACAAACTTATGCCTGTAAAGCCCAACTTTTCTTCATCTTCCACGCTGTAACATCCTGTTTATTAGCATCATTTTGAAAAGGCGGGCTCGCATTTTTGATCTCTGAGAATGGGTTTGAAAATGGCCCAGAGGAGGATTCGTCTGCTGTCACTGGCAGTTAAGAGATAGCGGTTGTCACATCTGATGACATCCACAATTATACTGTCAATACAGAAGATGGAGTCGGCGTGCATACGGAGTCATTTGCCATATACAAAGTGAGTTCCGGTTGATAACCTGTTTGTGGAAGCTGACACCATCACTGACAAACAGCACAGCTCACACCCTTAGCTGAGAGCAGGTTTCGTTTTCTCTATAGTATTTATGTAGAAACTGGCACTTCTTCCACCTTAATGTTACAAATTGTCAAGCAAGCAGTTTGCCCCCTAAATGAAAAGTAATCTATGAGTTGAATAAATGCATTTAAATGACATTTAATTACAAAGTGTGCCACTATAGACATAATCAACCCTCTCTTTAAAGAGCAGAAATACATTTCTCTTTAATGCACTCCACAGGGATGGCAGGAAATATTGCTTTCTCAGTAATATTACAAATATGAATATTAATTCATCAGCTTGCTCTGGTTACCCACAAGTGATCTGGTTGGTTACCTATCTCTCTCCAGTCTTCGCTGAACTGGTGAATTTCCAGGTCTCTGCAAGCCATACGCTTCCCTCCGCGTGCACAAGGGGTTGCTGTTACCACACCTTACAACTCAAGACTCTCTGACTGCTGTGCATTTTCCACGCTGTTGTGTCCAATGAGGTGAGTGCGTGCTCTAAGCAGATTTAGCAGAGTATGAAAGATGAGCGTGAAACAACCACAAAATTAGAGGTACCCTCATCCCCTCCCACTTCCAGTATGTTTTGTTTCCCCTTTTGTTCCTCTGCCGTCTGTTGAGTGCACACTTCATAAAGGCCATTTATAATCCCGCTGTCTGGAACATTTCTAGCCAGCAAGAGGTGCTGACTGTTTATCTGCGTTAAAGTGTCAACATCACACTTAAGCTGTTAGAATAATTAGCATTTTTGACAAGCTACTCATCACACGTTTTCTGTCACTACTTGAGGTTTTTTCTGTTTTCCTGAATGAATGATTGCAAGTGCTGAATGAATGGTGGATGTGGATCACAGCCCCCCACCTCCACCACCAGCCCAGAGTTTGTTGTTTTGATTACCCGCACCCCCGCCCCCGTTTGTTATCTCTGTCATCATCATGTTCGGCACTCATCAGGACACCGGTGCAAGTAAACGAGGTGAAATCTTACTATAAATAAATACAAATAAAATACCTAAAATTAAAAAAAATGCGAAGCTTGGTTTCAAAGCTAATTTTTAGAATTAATTTTAGGTAGCTTTTAATTCAACCCAGGTTTAAAAAAAAATACGAGCAATTAATAGATAAAAAATACTAATACTTTGCTTTAATTAATTCATTAATTAATAGCTGGTTTAGGCATGCGTGGCTGGAGGTGAGTTTATATACTGTATGTGTGTTTGGAGACGCCTACGCCTCTGAGGGGAGAGAGAGAGAGGGGGGAGAGAGAGAGCACAGAGTGGAGGATTGTGCATCAGTCTGTTGGCGCTCAAATGGGTAATTGCGCACACAGCCGACTGGACTATAGTGGCGACTCCAAGTACGACCCAGGTGTGAAGGCGTCCTATTTCTGAGCGGCATGCAGGGATCAGGGGGTTTGGACCGCTACGGAAAACTTGCTTCTGCTGCTCAAGTCATGCTCAATGTGCAACTCTGAAGCCGCATAAACTGCGACTGAGAGCAGTTTAACGCGTCTCTTATCGTTCTTTTTTTTAACCCCCCCTAGAGGATTACTCCTTCCCTCGGTAACCATGGGTAAGTCATTATGTTCCTCACAATTTAGTGACACAGTTTCTCCCTCCTGAGGCTCCTCGTAGCCAAGACGACGGCAGTGATCAGTTTTTAATGGCAGATCATTATTATTAATTATTATTATTTCTGTTTAGTTCCTAAACTGAATTTTGCTTTTTTTTATTTATTTATTTATTTAATTAATTAATTATTACCTAATGATGGAGGAGGATTTTACGTGTCTGGTCTTTGAAAAGCTAATAATAATTACTGTTATTTGCTTTTCTCTTTATGTGAATATGATCACATATGCATACCTTAAAAATAGCTGACGTCAGACTGTTATCAATTCTTCATGAAGCAGGTCTGGAGTCTGAGACATCAGACCTCAAGCTGCTCCTCTCTCCATGATCTCCTGTTTGAAGGATGAATTCTTTGCCTTTACTTATTTGAGCGTCCTTGAGCAGGCATTTTCTTAAACCATGTCATCTCTTTGATTGCTTGTGCTCCACTCTACCCCCAACAGGTTCTGTGATGTTGGACTGGCGGTTATCATGTCTTCTTCTGCAGGCAGCCGTTTTGCTGCTGCTCAGCAAGGGGGAGAGGATGTGCCCCGTGAGTTGTCGCTGCGAGGGAAAGATCGTTTATTGTGAGTCGGGCATCTTCCACGACGTTCCAGAAAACATCACCACGGGATGCCAAGGTCTGTCTCTGCGTTACAACAACCTGCAGGTTCTGCTGCCGTACCACTTCGCTCATCTTGGTCAGCTTGTGTGGCTTTACTTGGACCACAACTCAATCAATGCCATAGATGCTTTAGCTTTCCACGGGGTGCGCAGGCTGAAAGAACTGATCCTGAGCTCAAACAAAATATCCCATCTGCACAACAACACATTCAGTGCCATACCAAACCTGAGGAATCTGGACTTATCCTATAATCAGCTGCAGTCTCTCCATCCCGGACATTTCTACGGGCTGCGCAAGCTACAGAATCTCCACTTCAGGTCCAATGGACTGAAACAGATCCTCGTTCGTACTTTTTTGGATTGCCGCAGCCTGGAGTTCCTCGACCTGGGTTATAACCGCTTGCGGAGCCTCACCCGCACCGCGTTTTTGGGGCTGTTCAAGTTGAGGGAACTTCATTTAGAGCACAATCAATTTACCAGGATTAATTTCTTTATTTTCCCACGCCTCAGCAACCTCCAGGCTCTTTATTTGCAATGGAACCGCATACGATTCATCAATCAAGGTGTGCCGTGGACTTGGCAGAAACTTCAGAAACTGGACCTCTCGGGGAATGAAATCCAAATCTTGGATCCCGCTGTTTTCCAGTGCATGCCAAACTTACAGATACTAAACCTCGAATCAAACAAGCTGAGTAGCGTGCCTGTGGAGGCTGTGGCAGCATGGACTTCGCTGACCACCATCAGCCTGGCAGGTAACGCCTGGGACTGCAGCCCCAGCATCTGCCCTCTCATGACATGGCTGAGAACCTTCAAAGACTCCAAAGAAATCAGCATGATATGCAGCAGTCCCAAGTCTGTGCAGGGCGAAAGAGTGGTGGACGTAGTGAGAAACCACTCAGTATGCATAGACATGTTAAATGTGTTCTCGACCACTTTCATCATTAGGGGTTCAGCTGAAATTGTGAACATCACAGCTCCCCCGTCTCCCTCTGATGTTACAGACCTGGCTGCACAGACATCCACTGCTTCACCTGACCAGCCTGGCAGGACAGACAGAGTGACAACAGAGTCCATAACTATGAGCTCTACAGCTCACAATTCCCCCGAAACACCTACATCATTTATCCCTGAGCTACAGTTTGAACATATGGCTTTCCATAAAATCATTGCGGGCAGCGTAGCCCTGTTCTTGTCAGTGTCATTGATTCTGCTGGTTATTTATGTCTCGTGGAGGCGCTACCCCAACACCATGAGGCAGCTGCAGCAGCACTCAGTCAACCATAAGCGCAGAAAAAAGGCCCGCAAGCAGGAACAGGACCTTAACTCTCAGTTGCAAGAGTACTATCTGAGCTACCACTCAAACTCGGAGACAATGGACTCCTTGGTGAACGAGCCAAGGCCGTGCACGTGCACTATATCAGGATCAATAGAATGCGAGGTCTGAGCTGCCCACTAAAACACGAGATATAAAGTGCAATTGCTAAGCAGAGGTAGATAGGCTTTGTTTCCCCTCCAAAAAAAAAGATTAAGTGGTTTTTATCTCTAATATGAGATGATAGATTCTGCAGCAGTGAATAAAATACTGGGGGGCATAGTACAATATAATTATATGCAGAGAAAAGAAGATTGGAATGGAGAAATATATTTGGAGAGCTAATTATCGCCCTGACTGACACAAGAACAGTGGCAGGGTCAGTCGGGTTAGCTGTGTCTGACCTTACAAAAAGACTGGAACTTTGCTAACGCGAAAGTCAGCTCCACAGAGAGACTGACCTTATTCTTAGTCAGAGTATATTGCCATAGAACATACGAGCCAACAAAGCCACTTTTTACTTGCAACTGTTTTGTTTTTTGTTTTTTTATTTATTACTATTATATAGCTTGTAAAGCATTTTGGATAAATGTCAGTACCTTTGAGTGTATGTGTGTATATGAGTGTACTATGGGGATGAACTAATAGGACTGCACCTTATTCTCACAGATAGTTTTTGTCCAGTTAAATTATTTTTGCATTGGGCCCCACAGTATAGCAGTAGCACTACCATAAAAATGGACGAGGGTGGGGGGCAATCACAGAGAACAATCTTGTCCTGAGATCATATGCATGAGGCCGTTCTCTTTACTTTAGATGCTTCTTTCTCCTGTAAAAGGATCCGTCCTGACTACAGAAAAAAAGAGAAAAAATATGTGTGCAATTTGATTTGCTGTGAGAAAAGCCACACAGATGAACAGTATTTAAATACCCATGAGTCTGAATCTCAGGACTGACGTTTTCCAAACTGTACAAATCTGTCAGGTCCAACAGAAGGCCTTGTGTGTTAAGAAGTAACAATGTTGACTTTCAACATATTTTGTATTGATTACCGCTGTCATTGTATGGACTGTTTGTGTAAAGACGTAATAATGTGGATACTAGGAATTCTATGTGACTGTATAATTAAAAGAAACACTGACAACTGATGAAAAAAAAGAGAGAAGAAAATGTGTGTGTGATGAGAACGCTGACATCTGACGCGGCGCATGGCGAAAAAAAAATCTCTTGAAATCCATGCATTGTGATGTGGATGTTTCACATCTCATTGGATTTGCAGCTGCACGCGAGGGGGAGCTGACATATTTCCACGTGTCTCGTTTTCCTGCTGTCTTCTCTTACACCCTCTCCCGGCACTACAGCATTGATTGTATCTGGGTTAACACCTCAAACAGAGGGTAGGGGGACCGTGTCAGTCCCTGGGATATAGCTGATCTTGTTTAAAAAAAAAAAGAGGAGAGGAGTATTATACTCTGTTTTACTGCGGAAAGGTTTGGTTTAAGTGGAGCCCAAGTAGGCGATGCCATTCTTTGAGACAAAGAGACATTTTTGGTCCCTGAAACCAGAAAGAGATTAAGAATCTCTGCTTTATATAACCATGTATTCACTGTCAGTTTGAAAATACAGCTCTGGTGCAGTGAAAGGAAGGACAGAATAGAGGCAGGCCACTGAGGGACAGTGGGTGTTACAGGTCAAGGCAGTTATGCTATTATGAAGCTATCAGCTGCACTGGTCTGCTTTTTTCCCCATCTCCTCCCTTACGTATTCTCTTTGTGTGTGTGTGTGTGTGGTTTGTTTACTGTGTTGACAGAAAAATGAACCTGTGCCAGGAGACATGCAAATGTTCACACGTTGAGCAAGACACACAGGCAGCACTAGTGTTAGCATATATGAGCAATAAAAAGGGGTATTCGTCCCAACGCGAGAGATTCCGCTGAAAAACGGCATCCTACAGTCTCTCCCTCGCAGCTGTCACATTTTTTTTGCTGTCTGCTTTTTTTCTTTCCACCTGTTGTGTTTTGAAGTAAATGCACGCTTGAATCCCTCTTATTATCTGCTATTAGCCCGTTCGCATGTGTCGTGTGCTATACGTGGAAACTTTCTGACAGGTCAAAGGTTGTTTAGATGTGGATTTATGATCGCTCAAAATCCACTTTCCTTATCCTCCAGGCAGGCGTCGAGGCACGCTGCCAACAGAATTTATATCCATAAATCTGGTTTCTAGCTTGCATATATGATGAATTTCTTCTTGTGGGCCTGTGGGAAAAATGTGAGGCCGCACAAAGAAAAAATACATAATATGAACAGGACAAACGATTTGTTGATCTAATTTCCGCAGCTATTGTAATTAGTGTTTGATTTGTCGTGTAGTGATTGATGAAAAGCAATTCCTTGTGTTTTGAAATGTTTTGGTGTTGTGTGGCTAAGAAAGGAATACTGATTAGAGAGCTGCGGCCTGCATCCTTCAGATCGCTATTGGAGGATATCTGTGCGGATGAAAGATGCTAGGAATGCGCTGCTTCAGCTTCAAGCAACATTGCACAAGTAGAATCACATTTCGCTGGTGAACTCTGTAAAAAGCTAAACCTTTACATACTAAATATCTAATACCTCTGTGAAGTTCAGCTCAACAAGGCCAGAAATGCTCACTTGCTCGCCCCTCCCTGGTGGTCATGAAGTTTTGATTTACAGCAGTCACTGGGGATTTTTCCAAGGTAATGCATGTAACTCTTTGCACAAGGTGTATGCTGGTTATTTGAAAGGTAAGCACACTAATCCTAACGCAGCAGTGATGGTATTTTATCCCCTCAAACACATAATTTTCTTTTTATCTGGCTGCCTGATTTCTATTTTCGAGGGAGGTAATTTAAAGTAATCACTCAAAATTTGGGCAATAGCATATTAGCATTCGTGCCAAGAGTTTGATGAGAAAATTGATAATACTCCTGTGTTTTTCTGGTAAATATAAGGCAACAGCCGGCAGCCAGTTAGCTCAACTTTGCATGAAGAATGAAAATGAGGAAACTAGCCTTGGTTTGTCCAAAGGTAACAATCGCCACCCAACGTCATCGCTAAAACTCGGTAGTTAACATCCCATTTGTTTAATCCTTAAACAAGCCAAAGGATTAAGACTGTCATATGTAGTGGGTTACATCGTTGATGTAACTTCCTGAAGGATCAGGTGGTTAGCTGACACCTCGTATAGTTAAGGCTTTATCTCATTGTTTTTAATTGTTGTTGTTTTGTACATATCTAAGATACATGGTGTGTGTTTTTACTGATCGTGGCTACATTATCAACCTGTGTACCGTTAGCTACATGGTGTAGAGGTTGCCGAACATATAAAAACTCCCTGGTTAGAGACCAGAAGGAAATACCAACCCGGTCTCAGAGAAGTCACAAGCTAGTGTACTCCCAGTGCTGGTCCAAAGCCTAGATAAATGGTGTTGTTGTGTCAGGAAGGGAATCCAGTGTAAAATTACAGTGCAGCCCTCCTGAGCCAGGTTCTGCCAGAGGTTTGTTCTTGTTAAAGGGATTTTTTTCCTTCCCACTGTTGCCAAGGGCTTGCTCATAGGGGGTCGTCTCTGTATTACTGCAGGGTCTTTACCTTACAATACAATACACCATATGATGGCTGTGGTCATGATTATGTTGTGCTATATAAACTGAAATGAACTGAAATTGAAAATCTGTTGTGGCAACCTCTTATAGGAAGTAAAGGAGTGTCTGAAAGTACTGATAGTAATATGTGCTGGTTTGTCGACTTTGTTTTCCTTTTGACAAAGCAGTGGGAGGTTTTTACGTTGGGCCCAGGTGGGAAATTCCAGTATTTAAAAACAGGCACGATCTTGATATTGAGGGTACAGGCAGAAAAAAAGTGACATCTTTTAATCCACCTCTCGGCAAGCAAGTGAATTTCTCAATTAAATCAAAGACATGAAAAAACAACTACAAGTTATTTATATATGCAAATGACTGATAAATTCTTTCTCTTTTCCTTAAGCATATTTACCAGCTTTAATAGCATGGCTGTTTCTGCTTTCACCTTGTGTATTTGTGTGTGTCGTGGTGACTGTCTAATGGGAACAACCGCAAATGCATTTAGGATTTCTGCAGACATATTTTGTCAGCTGAATGCAGCTGTGAGGCTTCAAATGTGTGTATTTGACTTCAAAATCAAGGTCAAGTCCAGAGGATGAGTGCGGTGAAACTATTGGCTACTTATATGATAATGCAGTAATGACTGCTGAGTGCACGCAGTTTAGAATATTAACATGTCAATGGGTGCCACAGCTGTAGGGTCCCATTGCAAAAGGGTCTTTCATTCAATATTGTGTTTTCTATTGCATTTGTGCCAGGCTTCCATCCAGTGGAAAGGATTTCTTCAAGGATGATTGAGTCATCCAAGTCTTTTATTGGACAAATGTGCTCAGCAGACAGGGAATTTCCTTTATTTCTTTCTCCTTTAAAACAGCGAGCATCACATCCACTCCTACATGCAATTTAGGACCAAGGCTCAGGACCTTTAAGCTAGCATGTCGAGACTTTTACGCTAATATATTCAAATGATTACAATCAGTCAAAAATAGAGTCACTGAAGTATGAAAGGCTTCAAAGGCAGTTGTCACACTCTGGGGAGACAGAATTGCCCTGTCTCTAGTGTGCCACAACTAGATTCCTTTGTTACTTCACCTTTTGTGCACTGTATGTCACCTGTAAAATTCATTTCAATACTAATGCCTAACAGCTTTTGTCACATGTCCCAGTAGGTGCTTTGAGCCCCCCCCCCAAAAAAAATTTTCTCTCGCTGCTGCTTTTTATTTTTTATGTGATCATGTGAAAGTGGTGATAGTCAGAGAGACCTTTCAGCGTTCAGTAAAGGCACGCTGTTTTTCGTTCAAACAAGACGACATTACTGAGCGAATTGCTGCAAAGAATTTTAAGATAACTTCAGAGAAAATGACTTTTTGCCATAATCTATTCCCTCACTTTCATCTTTCCGCTTCATCACTCAGTGTAAACTTAAACATATACTGGAAATTTAATGAAAAAAATCACAAAATTTTGATTTTCTCTGCCGTTTGTCCTGAAGCAGTAGGACATAGAAACTTTCTTCGCAGATATAGACACAGATATATTCATTGTGTGATCTTCTCTGAACAGTGTAGACTAACGGCCTCTTTATTAAGTACAGATTATAAATATCTCATCAGTCAGTCACATGGAAGCAACTCAACTCATTTAGGCATGTAGACATGGTCAGTACAACCTGCTGAAGTTCAAACCGAGCATCTGAATGGAGAAGGAAGGTGATTTAAGTGACATTAAATGTGGGATGGTTCTTGTTGGTAGATGGGCTGGTCTGAGTAATTCACAAACTGCTGATCTAACAGGATTTCCTCACACAACTATCTCTAGCGTGGTCTAAAAAAAGAGCAAATATCCAGTCAGGGGCAGTTCTCTGGAGGAAAATACCTTGTTGATGTTAGAGTTCAGAGAAGAATGGGCAGACTGC